GCTATTGTCAAGCGGAACCTAAAGAAGACCAAAAAAACTGCTAAGGGCGAGCAGCAGTTCAAGGCAAACTGGCTTTCTGCGGCGAAGAAGGTGGACAAGGTGGCTGTACAAAATCTGATGGCAGGGGTCAAGCGTAAGGCCCGGCAATTCGGATTTGAAAAAGCGGAAGCCTAACTGAATATTTTTCCTGAATTTTATACTAATTGAACTTGAAAAAGAAATTTAATTTGATTTTTTAAATAAACGATTTCACCGATTTACACGCGTTTTCCCTTGACCAAATTTTGACCGTATCACCCTTTAAGTTTAACTACCCCATTTGCGACCTATTAAGCACAACCTGCAATTAGTCTTTCTTAATCTAGCGCAGTTTAGCACCAAACGGAATGTTATTATTACTGATGGCTTCCAAATTTATTTACATTTTGATAAAGAGAAAATAATCGTTGGTATATTATCAAAAGTCTAACACTGCTTCTTGACACCAAACTCGGCCTACGGATTCTAAACTCGGCCTAACGCTTTGAAACGCTATTGAAACGCCAATGAATTCACTTCGGCCTTTCGGATGAAGATAAAATTTGATTCGGTCGGAGCGCTTCTTTTGTTTTTGGGAATAATGGGTGCAAACCTTCATATCACGAGTTCTCATTGACTTCGTTCCGTAGCTTATTAACTAAAGTATCGTACCAAACGCATAATTGACTTGTTAACTCTGAAATCATGGATTTATTTGAAGTTTTCTGCTCGATAGGCCCAAAATGGGCGATTAGGCCGAAGTAGTTCTCTAGCCTACCACAATAGATCAAATTACTGGTCGCAGTGGTGTTAGGTCCCAAACAGAGGAAAACAGAAAAAAAGAAGCAATCCCGAGCAGGAACGAATATCTCGATACCTTGAATTGGTATGGGTGAGCCTGACATAAGAGGTAAAATGCCAAAAAATAATACCAAAAAAATGTTCCCACATTATCATTCCAATACCAAATTATGATAATGCAATACCAAAACAATACCACCCAGGAATTCTTTTGGTATCCAAAAATCAATTTTTAGTATTCACAAAGTATTTTGCATGTAATTTTTTGGTTTTATTCTTTGGTATTTTACCTCTTATATCATGCTGGTCAATACCAAATGTTGGTATCAGATCAGAATTAGGTATTCATTAGTTATTTTCTCCCGCTCGGGATGTTGCTTGTTTAGTCAAGGTTCACACATCCAGAAAGTTTAATTGAAATCTGAGAGGGTGCTACCAGCTCCGAATTGATTAAAAACTGAGCATGAAATTAAATCTTGTCCAAAAAAACCTTTTTAATTATGTGAAAACCAAATTAAAATATGACAATTTCTCATCCAGAATGTATTATAACCATACACGCAAACCAAAAATTTATTACAATGAATGTTAGTTCCATTTCCTATCATCCTCTGTTCATGAACATTGCAGCGAATGTTAGAAGTTGACCTTGCAGGCGATGTAATGGTTTTTTGCCTTTTTTATTTCGTGTTCTGTCTGTGCTTTCACAAACACAAGCAAGCATTTGCCTTGATTTTTATGTATAACATGGTAGAACGACGCACACACTTGCCTCGAATCTCTCCAACAGAAAAAAGCATACGAAGTCGAGTGTGAGAGGAAATGAGCGCTTTTTGTTTGCTTTTAGGGTATCCATATTCAGAAGCCTGGAGAGAGCCTGTGAGAAAGCACAGGTCTGATTATCGCAACGTTCTTTGTTCGAGTCCAGTCGGCAACCTTTTTCCTATGTTTTTTCGACATAATTAATTTCACTCACTAATACACTCCACATTTTTCGGTCTCCATGTGGTCTCCACTTACATCCTCTGATGATGAATCCCACATAATTGTAAGCGAATCTTACATCCACCGGTTGGGTGTAGTGTAGGTAAAAGCTACACCCAACCGGGGGATGTAAGATTCTCTTACAATTATGTGGGATTCATCATCCGAGGATGTTAGTGGAGACCAAGATGGAAAATGACAGGTGGGCAGGAACTCACGGTCTTCCAGTGTAGGTGAGTTCTTTGCCGTTAATGTTCACGAAAAATTAACTATTTTGCCATACAAAAATTCAAAACAAAAATTTTTACCTGCGGATTTGGACAGTTTTGACCTGTTTCATACGACCGGAAGGTGTATGCTGGTCACAAATGCCGTGCCAAACTGATATCCTACGCAATTAATCAATCTTGATGTGAATTTCGCTAATAAACACGAGGAGCATTTCTTATAGCAAACTTGCCATAACAAAATGGGCATGGTTCATTTGAGTTAACAAACTCACACTTCTTCCGACTGTGGCACCTCTCTTTCTCGCCTGGAGTGGAGACCGCTTAAACCGAGGATGCGGTATACCTAGCTGCGGTCCAATGCTAGAAAATTGGAGACCGAAAAATGTAGAGTGTATTAGTGAGGTAAATTAGTTATATCGAATAAAAAAATTGACAACAGACTGCCGGCTGGACTCGAACCACGAACGTTGCGATAATCAGACCTGTCCTTTCTCCACTGCTCTCTATATGCTTCTGAATATGGAGAGCCTAAAAGCAAACATGAAGCGCTCATTTTCTCGCATACTCGACTTCGTATGCTTTTTCTGCTGTAGAGATTCGAGGCAAGTGTGTGCGTCGTTCTACAATGTTCTACAATGTGCGTCGTTCCACAAGCTTACTGGTATAGTCGAAAGCGTAGATAGAACGCGAAATAAAAAAAGGCAAGAAACCATTACATCACCTGCATGGTCAATTTCTAACATTCGTTGCGATGTTCATGAACAGAGGATGATATCTGATATCTGCTTGTTTTCGGACAAACGTCAGTTTGATCGTTTGATTTTAAAAACTGGAACTGGAACTTCGACTAATCAGTGCAACACCGAACTTTTCGTCAGTGCAAACCTCAACCTGAGCTGGTTTTAATAGAGTCGGTGTATAATGAGTCGCGTCAAGAGAAAAACAGTTGAACTCGCATCACGGTTTTCGAAAGATTCCCTTTCTTTTAACTTGGCAGGAAGAGGACTTCTATATCAACTTCAAAGGACTTCTAGCGAGAAAAAATAATAGCGGCTGTAGTAAATCATTATATCAGTGATTTTGTCAAATTATCTTAACAAAAAATAGTAGAAATTCTCATTACTGATCATTACCAAACGTATCTCATGACAAATAAATGCTCACTGCGTGTTTATTTTCATTTCTTCGATTATACCTATTTTATATTTTATTGCAATACCTTTCGTGGAATTTTCATAGCATCGTAATGTTTGTTTACTTTGCACGATAGGTAGCTGGTTTGACAGTTCGATAGGTAGACTTGGCTTCACTCACTGACTCTATTAAAAACCAGCTCAGGTTGAGGTTTGCACTGACAAAAAGCTCGGTTTCGCACTGATTTGTCGAAGTTCCACCTGTTGGTTCCATGATGGTCCTTGAAATTTTTCGGAGCAATTAAAAAATTTAAGATTTTTCGCTTCACTTTTCGCACGAAACGTAATAACGTTGAAAAGATATTTGTTTTGACAGCAAAATTCTAAAAAGTAAATTTCCAAGCGGCTGATGATTGGGAGAGAGAGAAATATGTACATGTGCTACATCCATGATGCTAAAATTAATAATTTTCTACTGGTATTATCCAATTTATTTATGTACCCTGCTCTTATTGCTGATGTTATTCCTCCACCATATGTGCTCTCCTACCCTGCCATCCATTTGTTACAATTTGTTATCCCTAGCCTCGAAAAAGCCGCGAGTTATTGGCCCCCGCTTTACAAACGTTAGTTCTAAGTAATTTTGTGACCCAAACGATGAATATCGGCTCCACAAAGCTACGGCAAATGAGCCTGGAAAAATAAACACATAAAAAAAGGGCTCTCACCTCTACCCCATCATTCTCTGGGTGAGCGGAAGATCCGCACAAAAGCAAATAACCGAAAAGAGAAATGCAGCTGTCCAGCTTATCAGCTCAGCTCCGGATCCGAATCATCTTCTATCGAATAATTCACTGTGAGCTGTTTATGATGACAACTCTCGGACCCGTCCAGCTCTTGCTCTTTTTTTCTCTCTCGATTTTTCACGATTCAGCTCCGGATCCGGATCTGAGCTGATGATCTGGAGCTGATGCCGAGATTAGTGAGAGAAAGTCTGCTGGTAGTACCGCCTTTATCCCCCGGTACCTTCCCGTAAGACGTAGTCTACGTCAAAAAATATTAAATGAATGGTAATTAAAAATTCTTTTTAGGAAAAATATAATCAAATTGAGATTTTGCATTGAAAAACATTGATTGTATTTGTTTTTATGGTTTTCATGGTTTGTAGAATATAAGCGAAAACATACTCAAAAATTGTGTTTTTAGCTTGATCCAAAAGGTTGAGAGCAACAACATTCATTTGGATTGAATTTTACAGCCATCTGTATTTTTATATGGGGCAGTGACAGTTAAAATACAACGACACATATTTACATGAGCATGTATATTTCAGCACTGTTTGATGAGAAGTAAAGGATCAAAAGTGTAATTTTTACATTATATAAAATCGTACTCCCGACTGGATTGACAAAATTACAGAACAATTGTCTGTGTCCTCTATCACATTAATAAAAAAAAAAAAAAATATATATATATATATATAATATCCATCATAGAGAAAAAATGATGTGCACCAAATAAGTTCTTCTCTTTTCGTTTGCGACTACAAAATTCATCAATTTAATTTCCTCCGAAAATCTTGACAAATAGATTCAATCAACGTGCAGAATTTTACCCGACAGCTCCGAAATACCACGCAAGATCCTATCTCATCAGCCCATCATGTCATTGATTACGACCGGCTTGGGACGGCCCAGTCTTCGAAGCCAGAAGAAACTCCACTTAATTTATGGCTCCAACTGGGCGTTTGTTTTTCGTTTTGCTGTGTCCCCACACCCCACACACACACACACAACCCAGAAAGAGAAAATCTAGTGTGCATCATTATTTGCAGATATTCAACAATTGCTTACGTCCCCCAGCGGCCGTGGCTGCTGAATGCCAACGTACGAGACAACATCCTGTTCGGTGAACCGTTCCGACCGAAGCGCTACGACCGGGTGCTGAAAGCCTGTGCATTGAGGCCCGATATCGAGCTGATGCCGGACGGCGATATGAGCGAGATTGGCGAGCGGGGAATTAAGCTGTCCGGAGGTCAGCGCCAGAGGATCGTGATTGCCCGGGCCCTCTACTCGCCGGCCAGTGTGGTCATTATGGTAAGCACAGCAACGTGAAACGGGACGGATGTGTTCTTCTGGTTCCACAGCGAATACAAGGTATCTAGAGAGTGGAAGTGAGTGTGTGTGTGTGTGTTTGTGTAGAAATTTGGGACATCGACAGATCGAACGATTAGATGAGTGCCGTAATAATTCTTTTTGTTTCCATAGGACGATCCACTTTCGTCGTTGGACAACGAGGTTGCAAAGTTTGTGTTTGACCATGGGATTCGGCGAATGTTGACTAGGCAGAAGCGAACGGCTGTGATGGTGACACAGATGCTGCAGCTGGTGTACAGGGCTGACAATGTGAGTTTTTCCGAAAATGCAAATATCAAATGTTTTGTGTGGGATGGATTGTTTTGATTTCTTGCACATTCGAAAAGTTCACATGGGTACCCTTAATTGCAATCATGCCAAAGAGTACAACATTTTCAAGTGTGAAGCGTTTTTAAAGTTAATTGAAATCGTAACAGTTTGTCCATTTTCCGGGATAACTTTGAACAATGAGGGCGTTGTCTATCGTAGCTTCGTAGCACCTGCACCCGGTAGCAAATTGCGACAGATGACTATTTTCGGTTGTTTTGTATCTCAAACGAATCTGCGGAAGCACGAGTGTCTCTCACAGAACTGATAAACTACTATTCACTGCTTGCTGCCATGATTGGTCTCTTGCTGAACAGAGGGACCAGTCCGTTGCGATGCCAGGTGGAAGTCAACTTGTTGTGCTATGGGGATGCTGTCGTCGTTTGATAAAGGACGACTGGGATCCTTCACGGAAGTACAGCCATTTGATAGAAGTGTCATTAATTTGATTTGACTTGTCCACTTACGGTCATGATTTTATTATCAAGAGTCAATAACCATTTATTTCCCGAATAACTCCATTGCGCTTGCCCATTTTCCAACGTAACAACTATAAATATTTGGCAAGATGTCACATCGTACCGTCAACAGTCCGCCATACTACCCTAAGCAGTCCAAATGGGGGCGGGCGGTGGTTGTGTGTCGGGCGTCGCGTCGACTCGGGGCTCAAGCTGACTACTAATGACTGTGCTTCCATTTTCAGATAATTGCAGTGGAGGCCTCTGCCGTGGAGGCAACAGGTACACTATCAGAAATCGAAAACAATTACCCACAAATTCTGCGGAAGTGGAATGCAATTATCGCCAAAGAGCAGCAGTCCAAAGAGACGCAATTAAGGTAATTAGTTTTGCGTAGCCGTGACTTTGTCGCAGGTGTGAATGAGAATAGTGGCCTTCGAGGAGTGTTTGCACAGGAAAGCGACGATAAAGTCCCATAGAATAGCACTTAATGAAATATGGTTTGGTCAAGTTAATGTTTTGAATTTATTTCTTTCATCCCTCTCTCTGTTTTAACATGTGAAATCAACTTCGATGACGATGATTTCAGTCCAGGGAGAACTGCTCGGGAGAGATGGAAGTTGTTTAAAAATGTTTCACGGATAGGCTTCTTAAAGAGCCATGCCACCAGTGCGGAGTATTATGAGGTAAGACTTGACTTGAGGTATGTTTTGTAATTATTATTTTTTGTAAACTTAACTATAACAAAAAAAAAAAAAAATAACGCTCTGGGATTGCATCCAATTGAGTTGATGTCTTGAGTGAAGTTTCTTGGATTAATTAGGACTACAATTTGGAAGTTCAAGTTTTGGCCACAAAGATAGCGCAGGCCGCTTGGCGAGCGAAGGGTGCATTAATTTATGCTAATATAAGTGGGAATCTAATTTTTTCATCAGTTTCAACCAATCAAGCGAATATATTTAAATATTTAGAAAACATGAGACAACGGTGGCCTGGTTTCAACGAAAATTACTCTTCTTTAAGTTGTCCTCTAGATACGTTTTTGTATAGAATATGGCAAACATTCAACGTGACCCTATTCACTAACTTATGAATTGGCGCTGACCTTATCTTCTTTGTAGTATAAAGTCTAAGCATTAAAAAGAGAAGTTGATTTTGTGTTCCGATTAGCCACCATCTATATGCTGTCAAAAACAAAGTCAAATACAGTTAAAAAGTGTTATAACTTTGCAAAAATGCACATAGCCACATACTGTCTGAAGCAAACACATATAGTTTTATTTTGTTCGTATTTTTCTAAAACATTATATGCTTGAAAATTTATTATATAAATTATAGTATATACATAGAAGGTATAAAATTAGGTTAAAGAAAGTGATTTTCAAAAAGCTAAGATTATCAAACTAGACTTGTCTGAAGGACAATTAAACTACTTCTTCTTCTTGTTCGCATTTCAAGCTTATTGCTTAGCGCATATTACCTTATTGCGTGCTCTCAACGTAGTGTTCTAAATGCATTTCCACAGTTATTAATTGAGAGCTTTCGATGCCAATACCAATGCATGAATTTGTATATTGTGTGGCAAGCACAATGATACTCTACTCCGGCTTGGTAATACCGTGCCTTTACTGACTAGGCTATAAGGCCCCTCTATTAAACAATTAAACTAAGAATCTTTATTTCTCACCAGAATGCACCTTTTATAACCTAGCAACCTATCTTTCTCGGCAACAAGCTTTGCTAATTAAAACTAAACATCCTGGTGAGATACGAACTTTCCCACGATGACGCTCGCCATAACCATGATGATGTTTATGTTTGACATCGTTCGATGATGCAATGGAGCTGTACAACTTGTTTCTCAGTTCATGCGAAATTCTTGAGGCAGATCTCGATGATGGATCCCCTCTATTTTGAGAATACGGTGATAACTTAGATATTATGTATAAGTTATAAGTTATAGCTAATAATTAAAAACTAAATTGAGAGGGGTAACCATAGAAATCGTTTCATATCTTCAAAACTATTAGACATAGAAAATTTGTGTATTCAACAAAGTTTCTTCTAGTTGAAGATGCTAATTTCAAATAACAGACTAAAGTGGTAATTTTTATACAATAGATGAGGAGATGAAAGTATAGAGTTGATAGTTTCGTTAGAGTACGGCAGTGTGAAAATTGTATTTAGAGAGTAGAAAGCGAGCAAGGACAACTTTTTAGGAAGTTACAAATCGGTTTGATCATCTCTCTTTACCAAACTCGCCCGTTGGAGAGGTTGGTGAGGGGTATCCCCTCACCAACGAAACGATTGTACCGCACTCAAGTTGTTATCTGAAGGAAGGCATCCAGTCGTAGGTTTGGAAGTTGCAGATATTGTTACCTCTACACGGTATGTGCTCCTGTCATTGGTAAATAAAGATGATCAAACCGATTTGTACCTTCCTGAAAAGTTGTCCTTGCTCGCTTTCTACTCTCAAAATTAAAAAAGTTCTCAAATATTTCGTTTTCGAGTTTTTTTTTATTTATTCAAAGGGGGGATGTTTTTTAGTGTCATGAACTATGTTAATCATCGATTGAGTTTCCACTTGCTGTAATTACGGCCTCCACACGCTTCCGGAATGCACAGCAGGTTCTAATAATGTAGTCTGGATCCATTTCGCTCCAGGTACGGGTCAATGTTTGTCTGAGGCTTGCTGTACTCGGGTGACGTTTACAACAGGCCTTGGCCTTCATGATGCGCCATATTGAGTAATCCAGCGGATTAAGATCGGGGCTGGATGGTGGCCACATATCCTTCGCCCAGAACGGAAGATGTTCCTGCAAACACTTCTGAGTGCAGTTCGAGGTGTGGCATGGAGCCCCATCTTGTTTAAATACAACATTTGGCTTCGAACCGTACTGTTCTTTGATCCACGGAAGAACATACTTACTTAAAATCCCGATGTAGACCTCCGTGTTGACCTTGTCACCTTCTGGAATGAACACCGGGTCCATTTTTGTTGCCATCGGAAGCCACCAATCCAAACACCATAACGCTAGCAGGATGCTTGGTCAGATACACGTTCTTGTGCTCGTCGGCCACGTCTTTTACCGGAATAGAACTAATATACCGGTCGGTTCTGGAATTTGATACGCGATCGACGGTAAACATGCTCTCGTCGGTGAACAGGATTACCGGATTTTTTCGCTTAAGAAGTTCAAGATTTTCTTGCATCGTTCGACTCGTAGCTCCCGGATGCGGTTGGTAATCATGTGAGTTTTTTTTTCCGTGCCCTCGACTTCGCCCCGCAATCTTCCTGTACGATCTTCCGTGCCATAAAGTCACTGATCCCGTGTTCCTTTGCAATTTTCCTTATTGAACGCACTGGATTCACTCGAATCTTCCTTTTGATAGCTGCGATAACCCTCGGAACCCGAGCTGACCACGGACGACCTGTGGCCACCTTCGCGGATAGTTGTCCTTTCTTTTCTCGGTCTAAAACCCTTATGATGGTCCACCGGGACACTCCCACGGCGATTGAAATGTCTTTTTGCAACATTTGCGCGTGGGACAAATCACGAATACGCAGCCACTTTAATTTTATACACAGCCTACTACGGTATGTGCTATATGTTACGTGCATGCAAAGAAAACCAAGGCATTGTATGCACAGGTGAAACGGGAACCTTATTTGTACGATGGTGCAAACATTATCACGCATACGGTACAATTTTCACACTGCCGTACTCTAATGGAACTATCAACTTTATACTTTCATCTATCGTATTTAAAATACCACTTTAGTCTGTTATTTGAAATTAGCATCTTCAACTGTGTAAATCGTTAACTTCACCCAGAAGTAATACAAACAAATAGCTAAAGAAAAGAAATTTCTTACCTATTCTAAGTAAGTTCTAATGGTGAAAAAACAAAAAAAAAATGAAGAACTTGTTTTTCTTCTCATATTTTAAGACATAAATTGCTTCAAAATGCAGTATCTCAGGAAATGCGCAAATTACTTCTCTTCAATAAATGATTCTTATGTAAAAAAAATTTGGAGAACATAATGGGGATATCAGATTGGAAATCTTAATATACTAATTCTAAGAAAATGGCATTCTTAGTCATTAATAGAAAATATAAAACATTTGGTAACGCTGTGCAAAATTAACAAATTCATATCTAGATTCTTAGTTTAAATGTCTTATTAAAACACTCTATAATAATAATTGCAGCTTTATGTGTTCCGGAGATATAGGTAAAAGAAAGTAGTGCTTTCTTGAAAATGATGAAAAATAGAAAACGCTTCTTTAGACTGAGAGGTGCTTCGATGGTCCCAAAAATTTAGATTCTTAAAAATAAGACTAAAATAAGTATCTCCTTCAAATTTGGTCCAATGTGGAAAAGGTCAATTTCCCTTGCCCTGGACATTTGGCGGACATATTTTCAGTTTTATAGGAGAAATGGATGTAATGTCGGCCTAAATGCCCCTTATTTGATCCCAAACATAAATTCAGCAATCGACTAAATTTTCAATAGCGATCAAAAATATCCATTTGTACCGTCTCAATGACGCGTTCATCTAGATAAAATTGATAAATAGCAGATTTTTAGCGATGGGCCCAATCTTAGATCCATAGGCCAACATTAGAATCATATGCCTTCTAGAAAACTAATGAAACTGTAAAAACACATGGTTGACAAAAGCACGCTATAATCATGCCTTGCCAAATTTAACATTACTTTCCCTTAATTTCATGAGCTCGTAGGGGATAATGGGGCAAGTGGAAATACAAAAGCTCACATCAAGAACTATTAAGCTGTGAAAGATTGACTTGCACAAAATTGTGTCTATGTTTTGGTGACATTTGTGTCTGATTGTGGAACGTAAATATTTTTGAGAGCAGTTCGTATGCTTTCACTCCCTCAGACATTTTTTAGCCATTATGAACATTCCTAATAACTTTTTGAATATTCATTAAAAAATTATGAAATTTTCGCCATGTTGCGCCCATCGCTAAAAATCTTCTATTGATCAATTTTATCTATATGAACGCGTCATTCGGACAGTACTAATGGATATTTTTGGTCGCTATTGAAAATTTAGTCGATAGCTGATTTGATATATGGGCACAAATTATGGGCATTTAGGCCAAAATTGCATCCTTTTCCCCTATGCATCCAAAGTCAAAACTAGGGATCAACCCAAGCAGCACACTTCCATCGAAATAAGTTGCTGTAACTTGATTGTGACTGGAATAAGTTGCATACAAGTATCCACAATTGTTTAGTGACAAGTGTGCCCACTCCCCCCTATTGTAAAGGTCCCGCTTTAAACCCTTCGAAAAGCAAGAGATAAACTAGCCTCAGGCTAAAAATCTCTAAAATAAAGATTTAAAAAAAAAAAACCTTCGAAAAGCGAGAATACTCACCAAAGGCGTGCCCTTCGTCAATCAATATAGGATTCCTTGGCAACAAAATCAAGCAATGACACCGATTTAGTCCATGTATCACAAACCCAGTCTTAATCACTTCAACCTAGAGAATAACAAAAATAAAATTAGAAATCACATTTCTTATGTGCAGTCTAGTTTGCAGTATTAATTTGTACATCAAAAACAAAGGAATTCGGCTAAAATTTTCGGTAAATATTAACAACTAAGGTAGAAGTGTAAAAACGCCCACCGGAGCAAAACTTCTTTGCATT